ATTTTAATATTTGAGATGAATTACAGTCATCCTACTTACAAGGTGTTAACATTTTTAAGACTTCTGAAAGATTGATTTAAGACATTTTAAGGCTAATTATGGCCTTATTTTTGGATTGATGAATTCAATGCTTTTTAAGACTTTAAAGATCTGCAGGAACCCTGAAACAAAAATATGATTCAAGTGACTCTTTATCCCATTCATGAGGCCACAAACTGCTCCTCTGACCTTATGACCAGTGAAGATGCGAACACAGTTTCCAGTCAGGACGTCCCAGAGGCGGATGGTGCGGTCAGACGACCCCGTGGCGACGTAATTTGAGTTCGGGTGGAAGCGGGTACAGGTGATGTCAGCCAGGTGGCCTGCAAATATTCGCAGCGGCTGGTAATGATCTGTCGCCCAAAGGCTTGTCGGAGGGAAAAATAAAACATTAGATTTTCTTATCTCATTAAGGAAGACGGGAAAAGGTCCACAATTCTCTGGAGTTTCTTACCGGGCAACCCGGTCGTGTCCCCCCGAGACAAAATAATAACCGTGAGGTGAAAACTGCGTGTCCCACACYGGGTAATTGTGACCTTTGTAGCCCACCAGACAAGTAAACGTTTGGAGACTCCACAACCGGATGGTAGCATCCTCAGAACTCGACAAAAGGTAATTTCTGAAAGATAAAAATAGTCAACTGTATTTCCCTTTCAATATGAATAAAATTAATTCAAATCAGAACAATTTTCTTCTTCCCTTTTCCTGTAGTTTTATGTTAAATAAAACTTTATTTAATATCCAATTGCGTGTTAAAGTTTGAATTTATTTGCCTTTAAATATTACGTTCCAATTAGGAAAGTCTGCAAAAATCTACCTTATTTACCTCAAAATAGAAAATTACTCAAATTATTTCTAAAGAAGTGCCTTAGTTTTCCTCTGGTCATCTTATTTTGTACTGAAGTGTCACAAAAAGTATTTAGAAACCTCTGTTTGTGTCACAAAATGCATCTAAACGACTTCAGCGTTCTATAAATGTTTAACATTTCTCAGTTCAGTTACTTCCTGTTTCTACGTGTTGTTTTCAAGGGTTGTGGGTATTTGAGTTGTGCTTTACCTGTCCGGGCTGAAGCTGATGCCATACACCGGCCCACTGTGTCCATAAAGAATCTTTGACTCACTGGCCGTCTTCTCATCCATAATCCTCTCTAAAACATCATCTGACTCTTTGTCAATCAGGTTCAAGTCTTAAGACGGAGAAAAATACAAGAACAAATTCATTTTTATGATTTCTTTTTCCAAACGGGACTAAACGTGTTGTCACCCTGTCACGCCACGCACCTGCGGCTGTTTTCACTTTACGGAGCTTTTTGGGCGTGACGCTCCACACCCTGACTGTGGAGTCAGCGAAGCCACCGGCGATCAGGCTGGAATCGTCTGTGAAGTCCACTGCAGTCAGACCCTGCACAGGTTTAACATCCATTATAGCTAACGTCGCTACAATCCGAGTTAGGCAGTTAATGTGACCACTTACCTGGTATGCATTGAGAAAAGTGTAGAAGCAGATGGAAGGGAGGAGATCTGGTCCTAAGCGAATCTTTTTGGTGGCCTCCTTCATGTACATGATCTTGTCCAGCTTGTCAGAGTCTTTGAGCTCCGGCAGAGGTATCCTAAACAGCAAATACACTGTTTAGAATCATCCACTGACAAGCAAGTGGAGAATTAAGTTTCAGGAGGAGGTCAGAGTGTAAAAAAGGGTGAATCTTGCTCAGTTGTTTGCTATCCACCCTGGAGAGCACCTAATGTAACAAGATCCAGCTAATTGGCCAAATATGTGAAGAGCTCCATGATTGGTCAAATACTTCAAGTTTCCATGTGATTCAGAAAAATGCAAACATTTGAACTGACTGCTTATTGCAGTTTATGGTGATATACATATTGCACAGGCTGTTATCACGATGACGATACATTCTCGATATATTGTGCCTAGTGCATGTTTTATTGTTTGAAGAATGCTCACCTAGTCTGCGAAGGAGCATTTGGATCCTGCTTTTTGCTTTTGGAGCCTACGTTGTCTTTTTTGGGCTTTTTCTTCTTGGGTTTACCCTCCTCATTCTCTGCCTCCTCATCCTCATCATCAAGAGGCAGCTCGATTTCTGGCTCCTTTAGCAGGCCATAGTAAACCTGAACCAAGTTGAACAAGAGTAAAATCAGAACTTAAAGGGATCCCCGATTAGTTGTAACATTAGACTTTATTTGATAAACATTTATTTTAACTGTAAAATAAAGACTGTAAAAATACTGTAGGCTGTTTAGTTTTGTAAAAAAATTAAAAATATATTTTAACACGGACGGAGCCATTTTATTTACACACAAAGCATTCTGAGTAAATGATATGAGCGAGCTATATCCACCCTGAAGGTTAATCTTGGACAATATCTGATGATCGACTCTTTTAAATGAAACCAGAGAGCGTTGACAGAGAGGAGAAGGTAGAAATGACTCAGCCTGGAACTGAAAATATGGATGGAGGACAACAGAGCTGCTTCATGGAAGAACAACCTCAGCTTAGCCTGTTAGCCTTCGCGCTAGCGTCGATGCTATATTGCCTTATATGTATTAGCTCAGCACTGGCGTGACAATCTAAACTGAGGTCCTCCATCTATATTTTCAGTTCCAGGCTGAGTCATTTCTACCTTCTCCTCTCTGTCAACGCTCTCTGGTTTCATTTGAAAGAGTCGATCATCAGATATTGTCCAAGATTAACCTTCAGGGTGGATATAGCTCGCTAGCAGCCTCGCACCGAGGACCTATCCACGTCATCTTCTACCCAGAATGCTTTGCGTGTAAATAAAATGGCTCCGTCCGTCTAATATTTTTTTAAATTTTTAGTTTAAAAATGATAAAAGCTAAACAGCCTACAGTAGTTTTACAGTCTTTATTTTACAGTTAAAATATATGTTTATCAAATAAAGTCTAATGTTACAAGTAATTGGGGATCCCTTTAATATAGCTCAATAAAGCTTTAAGATTTTCTGGACACGAGGTGAAAGTTTCCCACCTTAGCCTTATTAGCTTCCCGCCTGGCCTCTCCGGCCAAGCTGCCCGACATGGCATCGATCTGGCTCTTGCTGCGCGGCATCCCATCGAAGATGTCGATGTAGAGGTGCTCCTGGATGATGTTCCATATCTGATTGTTCTGCCGCTCCTGCAGGTGTCTCTTCAGCAGCTGGTAGGAGTCGCGGGAGATGCGTAGGACAAACTTGCTGGTGCGGAAGTCCAGCAGGGTCTCGTTGCCTCTCATGTGCTCCTTCTTTGTTAGGCTGGATAAAACACGCAGGTCGTCCTCATAGTAGCACTCCTGGTCCCCACTGAACCTGTAAAAATAAAATAAAATAAAAATAAAAACAAGTGGGGTGAAGTTGTGAAAGAATATGTGCAAAGTATGATTTATATTCAGAAGCATAAAGACACTTACTTTTCATAAAAGGCCTTGGCCTCACTTTCATGATTGTTGTACACCAGCTCCAGGTACATGTGGACAAACAGCGGGTAGAAGACCTGAGACAGTTCTGCTCGGTGGCAGTCCAAAACTGATTCAATGAACTTCTTCAGGCTGCTGTAGTAAACATCATACAGAGCTGGATCTCCCTGCTGGCTGTAGGCTGACAGCACCACGCTGACATCTGGCTGATCCTCTCCGACTGCTGCTGGAAGAAAGACCCAGTGAGTTGTGCAGCACTTCTTGCTACATTTGTTTAAAATGTGAGCTTTAAGTGTTGCACAAGACTGAAAGCTAATAACATTGACAAAACAGCTACAGCTGTATTATGTAACACAACCAAGGAGCTTAGAAAAAGAACAAAAAAGGTGACTAACTCATAAAAGAGGGTAAACTAAAATTAAAGTTTTGCTGTGAATCTGCATGGAATTATAAAAAAATATGCATATGCTTGCCTTACTGTTTAATATAATTAAATATACTAACAGGTGTTTCTAACGTGAAATGAAGATGATTTTATTATAAAGTTAGAATAAACTGTACCCTTGGTTGGTGCCTGAACTCCGGCGGAGGCAGAGACGGTCACCCGGCTGAGAAGAGCGTTCGCATTCCCGCCTTCCGTGTCCACACTTCCCGCAGCGCCTCCCTGTCCCGACCCGCTGGCGTCCGTGCCTTTCAGGTCCAGAGCATCCTCCGGTAAGCCCGCTTCACGGCGCAAAATTTCTGCGGACTCTGACAGCTTGTTCTTTTTGAGGAACTGCAGGACCGCCAGCAGCGTCTGCTGCTCCTCGGGGGTCCCCGCCGCAGGTTTGTTGTTCCCAACCGCGGTGCTGGAGCCCGGGGGTGCAGAAAGCAGCCTGCTGTCGTTGGCGGTGTTATTTCCGAAGCCATCGCTCGCTGGTTCTGTTTTAACATCCACTTCATCTTTCGTGTCGACTAGACCTCCCTGTACGGCCGCCATTTTCAAAATGAACTGCGCATGGGCGAGATTGAAAGGAAACCCTTGACGGCGCAAGAACGACCGACCTGATTGGTTCTTACTGCCAGACGTCAGGAAGTGAACGAATCAGGTTCCGCCTACTATTTGTTTATATATTCTAAGTAGAGCTTCACAATGTTAAAAGAAGAAATCAGTGCAAGAGACAAGAACTTTTGAGCAGGGAATTTTCTGAAAACTGCATTTACACTCAAACATCTATTTATACGTACGTATGTACGTACGTACGTACGTACGTACGTACGTACGTACGTACGTACATAC